CGAGAAGGTGACTGTCCCCTGGAGGATGGTGTGGCCGAGCTCGTGTCTCCCTGAACCCCGAGAAGGTGACTGTCCCCTGGAGGATGGTGTGGCCGGGCTCGTGTCTCCCTGAACCCCGAGAAGGTGACCATCCCCTGGAGGAGTACGTGGCCGGGCTCCCGTCTCCCTGAACCTGAGAAGGTGACCACCGTCGTTCAGCAGAGGACACCTGAGTGCCCTTTTGTGACCAAGCACAGCATTTCCCCACGCGAGGGTGACGGGCCTGTCATCTGGCACCAGAGCGGCTGCGGGTGCACCTCAGCCAACGTGCCACTTACGCGGCCAGGAGGATGGCGGCCGTGCCCACCAGCTGCAGCTTTCCCCTCAGGACCGACATGCAGGACAGGAAGCGGTCCAGGAAGTTGACGGCCAGGTACAGCGTCTCCGCTCGCAGCTTGTACTCCTCCCCGACCTCCACCAGCCAGTCCACCAGGATGGCACGCATGCGCTCCGTGATATCCGGCTGCTTCCTCATGTAGTGGGCTTTGGGCCTGTGTCTGACCTACAGGGAGAGCTGTGCTCACACCGCTGCCTTCACAAAGCACGTCCAAGGACAGCTGCTCCCTCCACAATCTCGTGGGCTGACGACCCACGGACGTCTTGATCAAGACAAGGATGAAAGCCCTGACGTTCCGATCCGGGGACACAATTAGGAGGCAGGCGCTGGGGTTCCGTGAGGGAGACACCGGTTTGATTCCCGGCTGGAACACAGCACATGCAGACACCATTGTCTGTCTGGGGAGGCCCGTGTGTCACTGTGACACTCAACAGGTTCCAGACTGAGCTTCCAGACTGAGACAGATGAGGAAAGAAGGCCTGGCACGTGCCTCCGAAAATCAGCCACTGAACACCCTAAGATGGTAACAGGCACCACACCACCAAGGCTCCTGCTGAAAACCCTACAGATGGTAACAGGCACCACACCACCAGGGCTCCCACTGAACACCCTACAGATGATAACAGGTACCACACCACCAGGGCTCCCACTGAAAACCTTCCAGATGATAACAGGTACCACACCACCAGGGCTCCCAGTGAACACCCTACAGATAACAGACACCACACCACCAGGGCTCCCAGTGAACACCCTACAGGTGATTACAGTGAAATCCACAACCGCTCGCAGGGGTGGCATGGACCAGGTGGTGGTCTGCTGTTACACACGGGGTCACCTGGTCAGGGCAGACTCCAGGCAACTGCCAACAACAACACAATCAGGTAACAAATGAGGATGGGCAACAGCAGCGTGAGTCATTCCTAAGCCGAATGCTCAACGCATGCAGCCTCAGGGCCACGCAGACGCGGCCAAGCACAGGCCCCACAGCTCCACAAGCACCGGTTTTCATCCTTCGGCGACTACGTCGTGAGAAAGCCGCCCACCAGAGGTCACGGCCGTGAGCTCCTGGAGTCCTGCTAGGTGACACACTTAGGGGCTTGGCTGCTGGCGACAGGCCAGTGGTGGGAGCCCCCCAGTGGCTCTGCAGGAGGAAGACCTGGTGGTCCGCTCCCATAAAGAGGGTGGCCAAGGACACCCTGCGGGCAGTTCTAGCCTGTGACCCAGGGCTGCCACAAGCCGCCTCGACGGTTCCCATGACAGTGGTCTGTGCCGGGGTGCCCGATGGGCCAGAGCCGAGACCCAGCCGGTGACCCGGAGCTGCCGCGAACCCCCACGACAGCGCTCCGTGCCAGGAGCTGGATGGGGCGGGAGCCGGGCGCTCACCTCCGCCTCCCGGAGGTACCGGTGGATCTCCTCGGCGTACTCCGTCACGTCCAGCACGTCTGAGCCCAGGCTGGAGGCATCTGCGGCCTGGGAGTAGAGCGAGGCATCCACCAGCATCGGGGAGACTGCGGGGTCAACACGGCCAGGGGGCGTCTGAGGGTCAGGGAGACTGCGGGGTCAACACGGCCAGGGGGCGTCTGAGGGTCGGGGAGACTGCGGGGTCAACACGGCCAGGGGGCGTCTGAGGGTCGGGGAGACTGCGGGGTCAACACGGCCAGGGGTCACTGAAGGGTCGGGGAGACTGCGGGGTCAACACGGCCAGGGGTCACGGGAGGGTCAGGAAGACTGCGGGGTCAACACGGCCAGGGGCACCGAAGGGTCAGGGAGACTGCGGGGTCAACACGGCCAGGGGGCGTCTGAGGGTCAGGGAGACTGTGGGGTCAACACGGCCAGGGGTCATCGAAGGGTCAGGGAAACTGCGGGGTCAACACGGCCAGGGGGCGTCTGAGGGTCAGGGAGACTGCGGGGTCAACACAGCCAGGGGGTGTCTGAGGGTCAGGGAGACTGCGGGGTCAACACGGCCAGGGGGCGTCTGAGGGCCGGGGAGACCGCGGGGTCAACACGGCCAGGGGGCGTCTGAGAGGCTGCCGCTCACGTGTGCACATCAGACCACACAGAGACTGAAATGGAAAGCTGACGTGCTCTGCAGGCTTCCCCTGAACCGTCGTGAAGACACAGCGAGGGGGCAAGCTGCCGCCCTACATGCGTCACGATTGAAAAAACCCACAAAGCGACCCAACCAACCGCGTCCCAGACACTGCCCTCCACGGGTGGCTGCTCACGGGCCACCACCCGCTGCCCCCACGCAGGGCGCCGGCCGGTCCGTGGGCCCTGGCTGAGGATTACCTGTGCTAAAATCCAGCAGGAAGTGCAGGTCCGACTTGTGTGCACTCGTGTCCACCTCGTACACCTCCTCGAAGGCCATCTCCACCAGCGGCTCGGGTCCCGGGCAGCTGTCCCCGTCCGCTGGGCCGGGCTCGTCCATGTAGATGTCGAAGCCCTGCTTGGGCGGCATGTGGAGCGTGCAGTCAGCCAATGCCTTCTTCCCAGCCGCAGGGAGGGCATTTTCCGGTCCCGAGAAGCACCTGTCGGCTGGGACCCCCTGGAATGGGGGGGGTTTGTTAGGTGACACTCAGAGACGAGGGGCCTGTGAGTCGCACCGTGGGCTGGGAGGCTGAGGTGGACACCAACTCTGGTATCTACACTGCCTCTGAGGGGTCCTGGTGGGGCACTGGTGACGTGCTCGGCTGCTGACCGGAAGGTCGGCAGTTCAAACCTACACAGCGGGTCCACAGGTCAAAGCCCTGATGATCCCCTCCCATAAACATGACAGCCTCGACGACCCTGTGGGGGGCTCTGCTCTGTGACATGCATCACCAGGAGCCAGACACAGACTCACAGCACAAAACCAACTGCACTTCAGAGTCAGCGTGTGTCCACACAAGAACTTCTGTAGCTCACGTCCGGAAAGAAAGCCAAGTCTTCATGGTGGAACTGGAGAAAAATCTCAGAGCTCATAAACCATGAGTTACTGTAAACAGCTGACCAAGATGCCAATGACTACCAGGTTACTATAAACAGCTAACCAGAGCTCTAATAACCACCAGGTTACTATCAACAGCTAACCAGGGCACCAATAATCAGCAAGTTACTATCAACAGCTAACCAGGATGCCAATAACAAACAAGTTTGGCTTTTGGTGCGAAGGTGCACGTGCGAGGGTCTGGTCCCTGGTGCAGACATATGGGTCTGGTCCCTGGCTACACACACTTGGGTCTGGTCCCTGGTGTTGGTCTGGTCCTCAGGTACATGCGTGTAGGTCTGGCCCCTGGGTGCACGCACGTGGGCCTGGTGCATCGATAAACGTCGTGGGTTGGCACATGCAGCCATGACATAAATGTCTCTGCAATACCTACTGTGCACCAGATGCTGCCCTGCTAAATTCAGGGAGCAGAACCTTCCAGAACAGCTCCACTCAGGCAATCAGCATTTCAGCTGCAGAAGAGACACCCAAGACATCCTGCATCACCAGTGAGACGTGCTCTCCACAAGAGAAAAGCCGGGAAGGGAACGCCCGCTTCAGGGAGAGGTCTGGGCGACGGTTCGAAGGAAGGGAGTGAGCAGGGGGCGCAAGCACGAGGGCGGGGTGGGGCCCACGGGGCAGCGGGAATCACCGAGGCAAAGACCCTCCCACTGGACTGTGCCAGGTTCTCACGGCCAGAGAGCCATGTGCAAGGAGCAGGGGTAGAAAGGGGCAGAGGGGACAGCCCACCTCATGGTGAGCAGAGACCGTGGCATCAAAGTGGGGAGCATGTAACATGTAACATGCAATGATCAGTCTCTCTCCGTCCGGGCCAAGAAGAGCGAAGAAAAGCAAAGACACTTTGCAGGGGCCGTGGACCACGTGAGCCCCAGCTCCCATGCCCCTGAGACCAGAAGGACTAGATGGTGCCCGGCTACCACTGCCGACCGCTGACAGGGATCACAGTAAGAGGTCCGGGTGGAGTGGGCAACAAATGGGGAACAAAACTCAAAATAATAAAAAAGACCAGGCTCACTGGTCTGATAGGGACTGTTGGAACGCCCGAGCCTGGCCCTCAGTCAGCCTTCAGGCCTTGAACCGAACTCAGCCCTGGGGTCACCTGTCAGCCAAACGACAGACAGGCCTGTGAGGTGAACAGTGACGTGAGGGAGATAGCACTCCTTACAACAGTCAGCCCAGGGAGATGAGAAGAGCAGCGTCCGCGCAAAGGAGAAAACCTGCAAGGCAGGAAGGGCCAGGGAAGGAGGATGATGACCACAGGGAGGAAGTGTGAGGAGAGCTGTTACATGGTGCGGGTTGCAATCAATGTCAGAAAACAAAATGCACATGAATTGCTGCACAGAAACCCGTGTGCTCTGTAAACTTCCACCTAAGTCTCAGTGAAAAGCTAAAAAACAAAAGGAGAGGAAGCGGGAGGACCGTGGGGCATCGGGGATGGTGGTCTTTCAGAGCCGGGCAGCCAGTGGGCCTGGCCCTGAGCGCTGGCGGCCTGTGCGTGGAAGGCCCGCCCTCGCGGTGCGGTGCCCAGAGCCAGGGGGAGGAAGGAGAGAGACCCTGGACCTTACAGCCCCAGGTCAGCAGCCCAGGTCTGGACCAGAGTGGTAACAAGGAAGGTAAGGAACGGACTGCTGACAGCAGCAGTCATCTCGGAGGTCGGTGACGGCGGGGAGGATGAGGGGGTCAGGGGTGACGGGGTTTGGGGTTGAATCGCAGGACGGCTGAATATCCCACTTTCTGAGGGAGCCTCTGCGAAGGGCAGGCCAGGGGACAGAAAGGGACGGTGGTTTGCACAAGGTTGAGGAACCGAGCGGAGATGGTGAGGAGCCCACTGGGCAGGTGAGTCTGGGACACGGCGGAGAGGAAGCCTCGGGCCTCGTCGACGGATGCTGTCATTCTTGGTGACTGCGCCAGAAGCGCTGCCTGAACCAGCAACCCCCACCCCCACGGCGGCACCGTCGCGACCCACAGGGCCTGCAGAGGGTCTTCTGTGGAAGTTGATCCAAGCCTCCATTCCCACACTGCCCTGGTCTGTTAGTCCCAGCATCCCAGTGACACGCAGGCCTCCATGCACAGACAGGTGGCGGCTTCGCACGATGGGCCCTGGCTGGGAATGGAACCCCGGTTTCGGGCATGGAAGGTGAGAATTCTACCACTCAGCCAACACTGCCGCTCCCACTCCAAGCTGTTGGAGTTGTTAGGTGCTGTCGAGTCACCTCAGACTCACAGCAACCCCATGCACACAGAACGAAACACCACCCAGTCCCGCGCCAGCTCCACGATCCCTGCTATACTTGAGCCCATCTTCGCAGCCACCATGTCAATTCATCTAATCGAAGGCCTTCCCCTCTTTCGTCGACACTCCACCTTACCAAGCATGACATCCTTCTCCACGGAATCGTCCCCTCTGACAACATGACCAAGGCAGGTGAGAAGAGGCTCACTGTGAGTAAAAGAGTCAACAGTGAGTACAGAGATGGTCAGAGCTGTGGACTGTCAGCTACTCTGACGAGACCAACAGCCTGAGTATTTCCAAGTGGTGTTGGGACCTGAGAATTGACCTAAAAATCAGTCCTGGTCACCAAGGGCTACAGGGACAACTGCTCTGGTGGCCTATGACTAGGAAGGGAAACAGCAAGGAGGGAGACAACCTGAGCTGTGGACTTTCTGCTGTCTGGAGGACGTAGCCACTTTGATTGTTTACACGTGGCAGCCATTTTGAATGTTTACAAGCAGCAGCCATTTTGGATATTTAAAGTGACCGAGAGCACAGCCATTTTGCATGTTTACAAGCAGCAGCCTTGTAAAGTGACAGCATTCTCATTCAGATTCCAGGGACCTGAGAACAGGCAGTGAGGCGGGAATCAGGGAGAGGACAGAAAAGGCAAAGGGGACCGGAACAGATCGAGGAGTTACCCACAGGGATCCAGGTAAGGGTGGTTGGAGGCGTTTCCAACCGCTAAGGGAGACAAACTCGTCTGTTGGTTTTTCCTACTGTGGTGACGTGTTGCTGTGAGTCTTAAGGCTGTGCCACTGGTGTTTCAAATCCAGTGGGGTGCACAGGTATCAGCCTGGCTTGCAGACTGAGACAGATGAGGAAGGAGGAGGAGGCTATCCACTTCTCAAAAGAATTGGCCAGAGAAAACCTTATGAATAGCAGAGAAACAGAATAGCAGAAGAGATCCATATTTGTATCCATTCCAGAGAAAGGTGATCCCACAGAATGCGGAAATTATCGAACAATATCATTAATATCGCACCCAAGTAAGATCTTACTGAAGATAATTCAAAAATGGTTGCAGCAGCGTATTGACAGAGAACTTCCGGAGGTGCAAGCTGGATACTTTTTTGTTGTGTTTTTAGTGACCTCTTGCTTTCTTCATGAATGACGTTCTTGATGTCATCCCACAATTCATTTGGTTTCTGGTCACTGGTGTTCAATGCATCAAATCTATTCTTTAGATGGTCTCTAAATTCTGGAGGGATATAGTGTAGATCATATTTTGGCTCTCGTGGACTTGTTTTAATTGTCATGTCACTTCAAGAGATGGCATTTAACGCCAGAAGCCTTGCCAAGAACACTGAAGAGTAAATTAAAATTCAGAAGACCAAAGACTAAGCCCTGGGGCAGGCTAGCTTTTAGAGGTGGAGAAACAATAACAATTAATAAGACCACTGACCCACCCAGAGGCTCTGCAGGGGAGAGACCTGGAGATCTGCTCCATAAACATTCCAAACAGAAAACACCCAAACTCGCTGCCAACGAGTCACTTCTGACTCATAGTGACCCCTGTTGGGTTCCCAGGCAGTAAATCTTTATGGAAGCAGACAGCCCACTCTTCTTTCCATGGAATGGCTGGTGGGTTTGAACTGCCAGCCTTCTGGTTAGCAATTAGATGCCTTAGGCACTATACCACCAGAGCTCCACGGTGAAGGTTACAGCCTAGGAAACCCTGTGGGCAGTTCCACTCTGTCCTCTAGGGGCGCTGTGGGTCAGAATGGACTCCACGGCAGTGGGTGTGCTTTGGGCTTTGCTTCTGTGAAGATTGACAGCCTTGGAGACCCTGTGGGCAGTTCCACTCTGTCCTCTAGGGGCGCTGTGGGTCGGAATTGGCTCAACGGCAGTGGGTGTGGTTTGGGCTTTGCTTTTGTAAGACTGACAGCCTTGGAGACACTGTGGGCAGTTCCACTCTGTCCTCTAGGGGCGCTGTGGGTCAGAATGGACTCCAGGCAGTGGGTGTGGTTTGGGCTTTGCTTCTGTGAAGACTGACAGCCTTGGAGAGCCTGTGG